CAGCGGGAACATATATGTTGTACATCTCTTGGGAAGGGGCAGCGTCATAATGGGGACTGTATCAAATCCTACTTAGGCAGGACAATACGTAGGGGTCCCGACGCCGCGTTCCTCAGCTGAAGGTTATTTCGGGATGAAAGGTGCATCGTGCACTCAATCCCTGTTGATTTTCCATACACCTCACCGTCGCAGTAGAGCTTCCCACGGTATTGACAATGACAACACTTGAAATACTAGCTCCGAAGGATGACGCCGAAGAGAATGGTCATCGAAACTGATGAAATGAATCTAACAATAAGTGTGAAAGTGGATTGTCACTGTGGGATTAATGGGAGCCCCCCCCCGTTGACTAACACTACTCGAAAGTGCCACTTGGACTCAAAAGGAGAACTACTTAGTCTCATGATCTCTTAAACGAACTTAATCCTCATCTTACGAGCTTGAATCGTCGTAAAACTGGCCATCCGGCCATAGCGAGATCGATCCGGTGCGACTGATGCGCAACGAAAGGGAGACGCTCTACAATAGAGCTGGCTAGCATGGTGTAATCTGCTGTAATCGACTGTCCTTCACTCTACAGTCGTAAAATATGTGGCATGAGTCAATGCTAAAAATATTCTATGGCTTGCCTAGTGGATCTCGACAAGAATCGATTCTGAGCCCTACATTTCTTGTCTAGAGGGAAATGGCACCACGAATAATGCCACGAAAGAAGTAGTTGATCTGAGAGATACATTTGGATCGGACCATATGGTGCAGGAGACAGCGGTTTGTGGATTATTTATCCTCATGGGTGAACATACTGGGGGCCTTGCCCCAATGCGCAACTATGGCGTTCTTCTTCATCTTTTCAGCAACACAATAATAATAATCTAGAGGTTTTGCGAAGTCGTCAATAGTAACCGGAGTATCCGCACATGCCTTGACCTGGATCTCGAGGTCAGTCTTGTCATAACCGATAGCAATGTTGTACTTGTACTTAGTCTCAGTGGGAGTAGGTGCGGAAAACGTCATTCCCGTGACATGAAGGTGGCAACCGTCGACGGTAGTCTTGATGTCGAA